ACCTGTTTATGCTCTCTGTATGTGTGTATATATATCTCCTCAATATATGTTCCATTCTATATGCATCCGAAGAAGTGGGCTGTAGTCCACGAAAGCTTATGCTCTAATAAATTTGTTAGTCTCTAAGGTGCCACAAGTCCTCCTGTTCATATATTTATGTATATAAAGAATTCCTATCATGTGAGTGTTGCACCTGTGCACATCGGGGTTCCCAAATTATATGATGATTTTATAATAATCTTACTGGGCCTGATCTTGGGACAAGAACCTATTCATCCTTAAGTTACATTTATATTTACCCAACTTTGGGTCAGGCTACAGGCCCCACTGATTTTTTGGCAGACTTCCTGCTTCTAATGTATTTCATTTTTTTTTTCACAGTTAGTTTTTGTGTGTCATACTAGTCGCTCTTCAAATTCTTTTTTGGCTTTCCTAATTATACTTTTACACTTGATTTGCCAGAGTTTATGCACCTTTCTATTTTTCTCAGTAGGATTTGACTTCCAGTTTTTAAAGGATGCCTTTTTGTCTCTAACTATCTCTTTTACTCTGTTGTTTAGCCATGGTGGCATTTTTTTGATCCTCTTACTGTTTGTTTTTTATTTGGGGTATACATTTAGTTTAAACCTCTATTATGGTCTTTTTTAAAAGCTTCCATGCAGTTTGCAGGCATTTCCCTCTTGTGACTGTTCCTTTTAATGTTCATAGCTTCCTTATTTTTGTATAGTTCCTTTTTTAAATTAAATGCTACTGTGGGGGTTTTCTTTGGTATTCTTCCCCCCCCTCCCCTGGTCTCCATCCTGGTCAGGCGGTTGGTAGTATATTCCTATTGCTATACTTTTATTATTCAAGCATGGAATTTCTATCCATAGACATTCTATGGATAGAAGTTATCATGGAAGGGGAAAAAAGGACTGGGGTGGATCTGGAGCTATGAAATGTGCTCTCCAATATTCAGCTGACCCATTGTGTGTCTGGTTTCTTTCAAGGAAAAGGAGGGGAAAGAAGAGTTGGATGTGGAATTTTCTCTGGAAGAAAGGTGAGGTACCCACCGGGTGCTGCTAACTGTACATCTAGTTTTGAATTAACCCTTTACAATCCACTGTAGTACTTCTCAGTGCACACATTATGTGAGGGGATGCGATTATATGTGTCAACAAAGCTGCTGCTTCCTCAGTTTGAAGGGGTTGTTGAAGCGCTGCTCTGAGGAAGTCACAATCTTGGTATCCTAGATGTGTCTAGGGCAGGTTAATGCAGCAGGATATTTCACAGTATATATTCCAGTGTTTCGTTGCAGTATGTCTGGGATGACTGGTATCCGGTTCAAATCCTTCCTTCTTGGGTTCTGGCTATCCTGTGACAAGGTGGGAGAATCCAAAGCAGCTGTATAAAACCAAGATGCTATTTCTCCTCTGACAGTGGAAAACTTTTGTCTGACATAAAGGAAGCATTTGCTTCAGTGTCAGGTTATAGATTATAAAAAGCCTATCACAGTTTAGGCCCCAAATGCAGAGAGTTGAGAGAGGTAGGTAAGGAACCCAAACTCATTCATATTATCCCTTCATTTCCACAGCACAGCTCCCCACACTGAGGCCATCACCAATGGAGTTCTAGTGGTGAGTAGAAGATGTGATTTTACTTATCATGCTGGAGGACTGTTATTTGGTGTGGGTTGTGCTGTTGGCAGTGCACTGCTTCCACACTCCCCTTTCATTCTCTCAAATCAGAGAGACTCTCTCTTTGCTGCGAATGTAGTGATGTCTCCCACTTCCCCACAGTGTGTCAGCTGGGTATGTACCTGGGACTTTAAGTACCACAGAAGAGACCTCAACCTCATGAGCTAGAGAATAACTCCATTAGTTATAGAATAGTTAAAGAATAACTCCATTACTGGTTGCAGTAGTAGGCTGTTATACTCTAATGGATCTACCAGTAAAGAATGACATGACCCACTTTTTCCATATGTTACACTGTCACCTGCAAGCATTACTTGAAATTGCTGTGTCTGGCAGAGGGGTGATCATTTTCATTGCAGAGTGTTTGCTGTGGGGCAGATTTTGAAAAGCTGTGTTTCTGGAGAATGTGTGTGTGGTGGCGGGAGTATTTTGGACCTCTCCCAGTGCTGAGGTACACATTGCTTTCCATAGAAGATGATAGTGGTACATCTGTCTCTTCACATCCCTGCATTCCCATTCCTGTGCCCCTTAATAACAAATGATTTTAGGAGCCAATATCTCCAGGCCAGTTTTATTTGGCACTGGTTTAGGTCAGAAGCAACCAGGAATAAGAAGTTGGAGGAAGGTGCTCAAGCCATAGAGTCATTCTGAGCACTGCGACGAGAGTCTTGCTGAGGAGGAATGATCTTCTGGATGCAGGAACAAATTTGTCTTGAACTGACCTTAGTTTTGTCCTTGGATTAATCATCTAGCAACTTCTCATCATAGAAACTAGCATTAGCATCCGTGAGGAAATGAACACAATTTCTTAGTCAGAGTTAAGTTCTCACAGCCCATTCTTTTCACATAGGCTCATCCCTGCCTGTGTGTTCAAGGCTCCATCAATAAAAGTGAGAAGACCAAATGGATAATACAGGGTAGGTCTTGTCAGAGACATAGCAATTTCCTGCAATAGCCTTGAAAAACCTTATTGAATTAAGTTAAGTATCTTTGGAGTCCATTGTGTTAAATGCAAAGGTTATGTATTATTGTGGGCCTTTGTCTGCTGATCACCTTTTCCATGAGGCCAGGATCAAAGGCCCAAGCTGTGTAAAGGAAAAACTGAGCTATTCATGGCTGTTATGAACTTGTGGTCACAGATAAACCCCTTTGTGGGGTTTGAAGGACTGACTAGTAACAGAGCTCTTTCTGGAGTTGAGGGGTGATCTCTGGCAAGTTTATTAGCATGCATATAGGTTCCTTTATTGTTTTTAATATGTTTTCTCTGTAATATTTCACCTTAAGAATAAATGTGCTTGCTTACAAAGGGCTGTGGGGTAACTTAAAACTGCTGGCAATTACATCTATTCATACCCTTTAAAGAGAAAGCTAAGTGCAGATGCTAGCCTGTTTATGGAGTCTGGCTTTCTGGGGATATCACAGTGTAGGCAGGGAACTACAGTCCTTGAAACACTCTGATCCAGAGGGAGAGAAATGTGGTCTCTGCCCAAGAGAGGATAGTTGAGGATCTGGGAGCCTAGCATGGGTGCACTCAAGGGACTGCGAGGGGGGAATACAGGTGCAGTTGCCCTGAACTGTGATGGATATATCCTTCCTTTGACATATACATCCAATTCAGGAGTTAAGTGGCAGAGGATATGGTGAGGAACTGCACTTCCCCTTGTTATGGAGTTGTATAAAAAACATTGATATGGGCTTAACAGGACCTTTGGGACCTTAACAGGACCTTTTGTTCACCTGGCTGACAAAGGGCAGATACTGACATTCCTACAAAAGGGGGATTGTGAGGATGACAGCTGGGGCAAACAAGGATAATTCTTTAGGTATTCTGTAAAATAACACTACCCCCTCACTGCCAAAATCCATCCAAACAAAATTCCCATTTTTCACTTAATGCAGTCCCTCAATGCTATCTGCAGTGCTGGGGGCACAGCTAACACACCTCCGCTGCCACCATATCTGTATTCGGTTGGATGAGCAGAACCCACCTGGAAAACAGGAAACCCATCTTAATGTTACAAGGGTTCATATGTAGGTTTGACAGCTGGAGATGATCAGCAGAGAAGCATTGCAGGCAGGGTGTTGGGGAATCAATGTGGAATCTGTTCTGGAGGATGTGAGAAGTTCTGGCATCTGGGAGGGGATTCTTGTTGAGGCATTAGTCACTTGAGGAGAGTTGATTGCAATCTAAAGTAGTATATTAGGGATTTCCTTTTCTGTCTTTATGCTCTTAATTGTGTGGACTGAATCTTTCATTTCCTTATTCAGAGAACTGTCAAGTCAAGTTGTCTGTGCCAGGGGCCTTTGAGAATCGGTCATCCACTTTCTGCAGTGCTGATTCAGAAGAGAGAAGGAAGATCCCATTTCTCTTCCACGTAGACAGAGAAATCTGCCCAGAGATGCACTTGGAGCTGCTGCAAACGACAACTGTCCTAGAGGTGAGAAACAGCATTTGCCAGAGGCTTAATCCACTAGCCAGGCAAATCTATTCTGAAGCCAGGTCCTCGGCTCCTGAAAATGACACTTGGGTCCTGACTTCCGTTCCATTCATAATAATTACATGTACTACCCCAGTTGGACAAGTAGTGTTAGAGGCAAAGTTGACATAGCTCTTAAACCTGTTGATGAAAATAAGTTCATTATGTTAAAATAATAACTATTTATATTAATTCTTGGATGTGAGAATACACAACAAATAATTATAGGGTGGGGCTGGCAGTGCCGACTATTGTTAAGAGGGCCCAGCACTTCCCATAATAAGATGCTGTTTATTTGCTTATAACTTTACCAAACTTTAAATTGGAAAATTTCAGCCAAAATGATTGAGCTGTTTCTGAGAATGTGCCTAGGGAAAAAGACATTGTTTTGCCCATGTTTAAAAAAAACCCAACAACCCACCAGGGTGACCCTTTCTTTGAGAAGCTCTAGCACCCCTGTTCCTTGGAGCAGGGACTTGAAATTTGGCAGGAGGGTGGTATTTGTGTCAGGCATATTTCTTTCACCATCCCTATGAAAATCGGCCCAAATTTGGCCAATTTAGTAGCTTTCAATGCAGTACAAACTGCATTGAAAAATTGCAGTTTGTACATGGTCAGTAGAGAAATGCTAGAACTTTGTAGCTGAATTCCCTGAGAATTCCATCCACATTGGGCATGCCCCACCTTGGAGCTAAGCAGAACATCTCTGCAATTGCAGACTGTGCTGGGGCCAGACACTGGAAGTGGGAGCAAGGGAGCCTGTCTCTCCTGGGCTCTCAATGGCCCTCCTGCTGACGCCTAGGGAATGTGGAGGAGGAAGCTACCTTACTCAAATTTAGAGGGGACAAGAGCTGTACTGGGTGGGGGGGTGGGGTAGGCGGGGTAGTGGACTGGAACAAGGAGCCTAGGGGATGAACTGGGACTGAAGGCTGAAAGGAGGGAAACTATGAGTGGGATGGAATGGGACTGGCTGGGCAAGTAGAGTGGGAGCTAGGGAGGGAACAGATGGGACTGAGAGCCAGTGGTTGGGCTTGGGAAACTGAGTTTGGATGAAGAGTTGTGGGGAGATTTGGACTAGAACAGATCTGACAAGGAGCTGGAGTGGAGGAGAACTGGGACTATCTAGGCAAAGAGATTGGCGCATGGAGCCAGAGTGTGGGGGAAGGGGAGGTGCTGACATGAGCCACATAGATTTATTAAACGTTAAAAAGGGCATAGTCAAACTCCTATTAAAGTCAAAGGAAAGAGGACTATTGATTTCAGTGGAAATAGGATTGGGCCTTCATGTACTACCATGTATCCAGGTTCAAAGGACAAGTTTATTTAGTTGCTGGTCTTTGGGAATGTTTCTGTATAATGGTCCACTTGTGTGAACTGGGTAGGTCAGAATTGTTTATGTAACTTTAGCTTGTAATTTTTAACTTTTCAAAGTTAGTGATATTTTAAGGAGATATTATCAGTACATCTTTTCCTGAATTGCATGTCTCGATCTGAACTGTGACATAATAAAGTTTTTGTTATTGGATAATTAAACCACCAGCCATTTTTACTCATTTGAACAGCGTACATACGGTTTTCTATTAGTCAATAGCACATAGTTGAGTAGTATGTTTTTATAACAAGTGTACAGCACCTTGAGTGATGGAAGGATGCTTCTATAAATATATAGAAATAGTTACTTTTCTCTGTATGTAAACCAAGCATTTTAATTCCTAGGAGGGATGGAGTGAGGATCTGAAAATGCACACTGCACGCTTAGGGACGGGAACAATCCCTCTTGCAACACTTCCTCTTGGACAGGAAGTTGAAATTAGCATTCCACTAGGAAAGGTAATAGTCTCTCTTTCTATGCACAGGTTTTTTGGGGGCATGGAAATGGTGGACTAAGTTAAGCTTTGTGCTTTTAAGCTCTATGTTGTGTTTTTGTTACTGTTAGCGTTGGTTTTTTAAAGTCAGAAGGATTTGGGGACATAAACTGTTTTTTACAATGTGTTTATATAGCACCCTAGTATAGCAATGCCTGGATCTGACTGGAGCAGCTATGTGCTACAATAAGAGGGAAGAGAAAGGGATGCATGAGTCAGAGATAAGGAATGGAGGAAGGGGAATATTGAAGGAGGAGAGGCTTTTGATTGAGAATAAAGGGAGATAAGGAGAAAGTTGGTTGTTAGAGCAAATAAGGAATGTAAAGGGGATAATCAGAGGGGGACAATATTATAATGGAAGTGAAGGGTAGGAGTGAATGAGGGGGCTGATAGGGATAAGCCTACCACTATCTCTCCCTTTGTGCCTTTCATTTTCCCTTTACTAATTACCCCGTCCTCTCACACTTACCTGACCTTCGGTTTGGAATTGGGTTTGGCTCAGAAATCCTATCCACTTTGGCTTGTCTGATAGGTTGCTAGAGAGAAGACATGTGCTCTGCTAAATTTTCTGGATTCAACTGTGGAAGCCCACAGTAACTAACCCCTTATATACTGTCTGTCTCTCCTAATGAGCACTCACTCGCATGTTATTGCTGCCTCACAGTAAAGTTGGAGCGGTTATCTCTCAAATGTGGTAAATAGGAGGAAAGAGTGAAATCTTGTCTACAATTCATGGGTTAATTTAAAGCATTGAATAAAACAAGCAAAACTGTGTATAAATTCATTGAGCCCTGTTTTTTCCCCTGTTCAGTTCAGCATTTTCTCTGTCTGGTCTTGCTAGTCAAGGACCTCTTTATGGAGCTGGGAAGAAATGAGATGTCCATGTTGACTTGAGACGAGCAATCACAAGAAGTATTTTGCATGCCCATGGACTCTGGAAGAGAGAGCTGGTATTGCTCTTGCTAGCCCTGTTCCTCTCTTGAGAGGAGGAGACAGAGGCTAGTGTTGGGTGAGCACAGATCTGGCAGCTCAGCAACTAAACCTGCTTCTCCCTCTGTCGATCTGGCTGTGGCTTGTCTCATGTTTCCATTCTCTTACTCTCTCCCTCCTCCAGGCCCTTGGCTTTTTTTGCATCTACATAGGCAATCAAGTCAAGCATATTAGTTTAAATGTCTTAACCATTCAATAGCTGAGGGAAGGGCACTATGCAAATCCATGCAGGAACCAGGCAGCCCTTGCTGATGGGTGTACCCCGCAGCTTTGTTGTCTACATCTTCTCACTGGCCGCAGTGGCAAAGTGGGAAGTCACAAAGGCCCCCCTTAGAGTCATTAGTAGAATATCTTATCACTCCACATCTGAAGAGATTGAGCTTTACCCAAAGGTAGTGTGCAAGGTCAAACACAGGGGTTTGTTGGATCTGTCACAAGATATGTACTGACTATGTTTTTGTGCTTATAATCTCTATGGTTACATTGATGGGTTTTCTCATCACACAGTGTTGTGTCATCTTCAGTGAACTGTTAGGAGGAGCCTCCAGAATTTTACGTCACACAAGCTGTGATGTCCAAAAACCTCTATTATATAAACTTTCATGTTCAACACCTTCTGCCGTGTTGACTCACATGCTGAAGACGGGATTATGTGAATGAACTAAATTAGCTCTTTTTGTTAAAATTTGTCAAAATCCATGTATTTATTGTCCTAGCCAGCATTCCAGTTACCAAAAACGGTCATGTTCTTGCTATTTGTGGATTTCTATGATTCTGTAGGTATTGGTAGTTCACAAAAATGGTTTACAAAAAAGTTGAAAATCCAACCCTGAAAATCTTGAAAAAGTGATTATTATAACACACAGTAACTTCACAAACTCGTTAACACCTTAAAAACTCTCTAAGTTTTAAAAAAATGCTAAATTTTGTAATTTTTAAATTTTCCTTAAAAAAAATTGAAATTGGAGAAAATATTAACACTTAATGTGGCCAATTAAAAGGAAAATCCTTATGCTACTTTTAACTTCTGGCAGAACCTCCATAATCTGGCTTCAGGTTTGCTCCAGATAAGTATCCTCATACCATCTGATTTCAAATCCTATACGTTTGTACAATGAGCATTCAGACCAAACATCCTACACTGAAATACATTTGTATTATCTATTATTGCAGTAGTTCCCAGAGGGCCCAGCCGGGAATGCTCACCATTGTGCTGGGTTGCTGTACCAGCGTATACAAAGAGGTGTTTACAATATGGTCTGCCACTTATGCACTAGTTTACACAATAGTTAATTTCACTTCCCCAAATTGAGAGAGAATCCTTCCCCTTATCAGGCTTTGCGGTATACCGAACTGACCAAAGTTTATTTGCTCAGATCAAAGGTTATGCTAGATGTCTGCTAATGCCTTCCCAAAACAAGTGGCTTCTCTCCTAGCCAGCTTGCGTTACTTATAGTAACTTTAAAATTTTTACTAATTTATTTAATAATTCAAATTGATGTCAGATCATTAAATCTCTAAAGACTGAACTTTCTACAGTGACAGGTTCTGTGTTCAATTTGCACTTTTAGAGGAGATGTACATGTGACCCGGTGTGATTAGGACAACCCTCACTGGAAATGTCAAGGACAGGGCAGGCTGCAAAAGGGAGAGCAGACACTCCCCAAACTGGTGGTTCGTTAACACTGAAGTTAAACTTACCAACCAGTCACAAACTGTGCTTCTGATTCCCCATACTGGTTATCAAGAAGCTAAAAAAGAAATCACACAGCCCCCTTTATGTGGAAAATACAGTATTTTCCACAAACATGCATCTGATGAAGAGGGTATTAGCCTATGAAAGCTTATGCCCAAATAAATTTGTTAGTCTCTAAGGTGGCATAAGTACTCCTCGTTGATTTTGCTGATACAGACTAACATGGCTACCACTCTGAAACCTAAAACTAAAGGTTTATTTTAAAGAAAAAAGAAAGAACAGGAAGAGACTTGTTAAACGATAAAGTGCTCAGATACACCCAGAGACTTCAAAGTCCATATATCAGGTTCTTAGTAGTATTGGTGAGATGGCTGGCTTGAAAATCCCTCTGGAACACATCCACAGCTTGGATGGGTCATTCAGTCCTTTGTTCAGAGCTTCAGTTTGTAGAAAAGTTACTCCAGAGGTAAGAAGCAGGATTGAAGACAAAAAGCAGATGATGCAGCTGCCCTTTATATTCCTATTGCTATGTGGCTTGTATTTTGTGTCCCAAACACAAGCTTCACAGCCCATGGGCATGGAAAAGCCTTAAAGCCTCTGTCCATAGGTATGCCCCTACAAGTCCTGCTGACTCATGAGGTGTATTCCCTGGCTCCTTTCAGTGGATACATTGTACAAGTGATGACCCGTGATGGGCCATCGAACAGGCTAAGCAGTGCTGATGCCAATCTGTCTGGGGGTGTCACCCAGAAACAAAGCACAAGTTTGGAAATACCCTACATATCTATAACTCATAATAAAAGGTGATACAAACATATAAACAAAATTATCATACTTGGCAAATGGTAACATTTTGGCAGATACCTCACACAGCGTATCTGGTCAGATTCCTTGCAATTCTATAATATTGGTATCAACAATATCATAGTGTCCCACATATTCTATACATTGTCACAGTACACCACTGTTCCTTTATGGTGACTTTATTGCTAGCTTTTCTTGTTTTCTTAATTATAATAAAGCTCCCTCTGACTAAAGCATATATTTGTTCTTTGTGTATGGTGAAAACATAACATGGCCTGTCTTTGAGTTGGCTTTACTTCTGGATAGATCTTGTATAATTACTTTACGATAAGCTGTGGGAATTCTTTATGGCTTATGGGTGAGACCGTCTGTAAAACTATCCTTTGGTTCAGGATTGTTCCTTCTTTTCCAGGGGCAAGGTGTGGATCTGACTGTGAAGGTTGAAGAGAGGTGCGTCAGATACCAGAAATTCCTAAAAGAACATATGATAAGCAAATACTGTTCTCATTTATAAACTATCTTGGTAACTGTTTTACCTATCTCAGTCACACTTACGGTTCATTTTACTTGACTGTCTCAAATGAAAAAGGTTCCTAGTGTAGAGGGTTTTTTCTTCTGTTGTATCAGTTCACTGTAACTTTGCTGTAGAATCAGTTTTCCTTGTATTTGAAACTTATTGTGTCTGTGGGCTCAGAAAAAGAACTGAAACTATAAACTTGGGGCTGAGTGCTGAAGAGTTGCTTACGGAAGTCAAATCTGAAAAATTTCAGAGTGGTAGCTGTGTTAGGCTGTATCAGCAAAAACAACAAGGAGTCCTTGTGGCACCTTAGTGTCAAAGTTAGACTCAGGACTCATAGTTTGTCAGACCACTCTGTTCAGTAAGCATAGCTCAATGCTAATGCATTGCCAACATAAATAGCACCTAAAAAGAGCAACATAGT